AAGGAGAGAAAGAAACCCCATCCGCGGGAGGCGGCCAGGGAGGGAGTGCGGGCATCTTGGGGGGGGGGTTACAGCCGCTCCACTCCCGCCTCTCCCACTGAAGTCATCGGCGGGGGGGGTTTCTTCAGAGGAAACGGGTGCAGAACCCCCACTTGGCGGTGGTGGGAGGTTTTCCCGAGAATACGGTGTGTACACGCGGCGTGTGTTCAACAGGACAACCGCGCGCTCGCGAGACACACACACACACACACACACTCAGACAGAGAGAGTGAGTTGTGGCTTTTTCTGGGAGGCGCTGAGCATGCCGAGCGTGTGATACTTGTTATGCAGGGCAGCGGCAGCTGTCGCGTTAAACCGATTCCCTTTGCCTTCCTTGTTCTTAAGAAAGGTGGATGGAAGTTCTTTTATACTTTTGTACCAAGCCCTGGCAGACACTCACAAAGCCAGGCGTGGAGCGAATTCTTCTTCTTCTTCTTTTTAAACAATAAGGGATTCCAACTGTAGGACAGCAGTTTTCTCCCTCCAAAGGTGCAGATCCACGTGGATGTGGCGGTGAGTGCCCGGCGACACTCTTGTGTCCCCTCACCCAGTTAGTTCCCTTTGTTGGTTGTAACCCGAGCCTGAAGAGGGACGCATGAAATGGCATTTGCTTGTTGCAAGCAATGCTCTCAAGCCTTAGGTGGTCCTTACCAGGTTGGCAGGCGTTCATTGGATGTGCATGGCTCAGAGACTCTTTGTTTTCTGTGCCTGTTTCTTTCTGTCGGTGGAAGAACCCCTTGTAACTCCAGTGTCTCTTAACTAAAGCTGAAGAGAGCAGCCTATGGATTGGATGGATGCATTCAGTCTGCCATACAGTATCATTATATTTGAATATTTATTCCAGCCTGTTTATTTTTAGCCCTGAAAATAAAGGATTTAGTCTGCTGACCTTTGCCAGTGAAATGAGGTAGATAAAAGGGGCTGTAGAGCTCACATAAGGGCAGTGTCCTGTTTTATACACTCACACATATATGTATTCTGCTTTATAAAGATATGTCTTCATAAAGAGTCCAGTGCAGGAGCAGCATTGGGAAGTAAATAGGTAAAATAAACAAAAATTTCCCTTCAGATTTTCCTACTGCTTTTTGTAGGAGAAATTCAAGCTATAATCACTTACCAGAATGCCCTTTTTGAGGAGTGATTAAAATTGCTTTTGACTTAGGCTGAGTGCAGCAAATGGGAGGGGGATTTTAGTGGATGGCAGTGGGATCCCAACCCTTGTGTTTTTATTGTAGAAGAAAGGCCAATAATAGAGATTGCTGTGTCCTTTTCTAGCCCCAGCGAGCAGCAGCTGGGAACTATTGCTGGGGGAAACAGAACAAAAGCAGCATGCTGACCTTCTTTGCTTTATCGCTCTTTCCCTCTCTTTCTTCTCTGCATTACAGATTAGTATACTTGTCTTCAGCTGGCTTTAAAGTTGGTACAAGAAGAGAGGGTGTCCTCTGGAGCTACAGATGATGCAGACCGTCAAGGACACTTGCCCAGAATGGCTGGGCTTCACTTGGAGATTTGGCACTTCTTCACTGCTAAACGTGGCCTATTAATCCATGTGGGAATGTGCCTGCAGAGGGGGGAGCAGCTCTGTCCAGTCTGTTTATAGTTCAGCTGCTGGTGAGAGAGCACTGTTAAGAGCGATGGAGCCACAAAAGAGTCTGCTGCACACGTGAGCAGATGCATTGATGTGACAGCATTGGATTGTAGGCTTTCTTTTTGCAGAGTGGCTGGGTCTAGTTTTGAATGTTGCAGGGAGCACTTGCATGTTCTTGACATGAAAAGGCAGCACTAGTTTTTAACCAGATCATGCATCTAATTGGGAGTTGGTAATCTGGCCTCAACTGGGCTTGCCATCAGAATGCTCTTTTCCGGGACAACAAAGCAGCAGAAGCACCAACGTCAATATTCTGTTGGGGGACAGCAGCCAGAAAAGCATGATGAGAGCTTCAGATCCAAGAGCTTGCCAGTTCTCAATGGGTCTGTTCCACGGATTAACACTGCACAAAGTGCCCTCCTTGCTGCTAAAAGGAATTTCTTACAGAGTTTCCTGGGGGTCTCTGATCAGAAGTGTGGCCTTGATACCGACTCATCAGCACATCACAACAACGTTGCTGCAGCTGCAGCTGCTACAGCATCTTCTAGGACGATGTTATCTTTTACAGCTTCCAGCTTTTCAAGAATTGGGAGCTTCACAGAAAGAATGGACTGCAATAACTCTGCCGGCCTGAGTAAGGGGGTTTCCCCGGCTTCCACACTCTTAGTAATCCCAGGTAGAAAATTCTTCAACATTGTGTTGCTAGACTCCCGATTCTTTTTGGTTTGTATGTGCTTCCTGACGTTCATCCAGTCCCTCATGGTGTCTGGCTATCTGAGCAGTGTTATCACTACCATTGAGAGGAGATACAGTCTGAAAAGCTCAGAATCTGGGCTGCTGGTCAGCTGTTTTGATATTGGCAGCCTAATGGTAGTGGTGTTCATCAGTTACTTTGGGGGGCGAGGGCGGAGGCCTCTGTGGCTTGCTGTTGGTGGTTTGTTTATTGCTCTCGGGGCTGCCATGTTTTCTTTACCTCATTTCATCTCTCCACCATATCAGATCCAGGAACTGAATTCTTCTGTATCTAACGATGGTTTGTGCTTGACTGGCAATAATACAGCCAAAGACCATGTGGAGTCTCCAGCCTGTTTCAAGGATTCAGGTGGAAATGAACACTCCCTCTATGTAGCTTTGTTTGTTTGTGCCCAAATTCTCATTGGCATGGGCTCCACACCCATCTATACTCTGGGACCAACCTACTTGGATGACAATGTCAAGAAAGAAAACTCATCACTCTACCTAGGTAAGGGTCTGTGCATAAAACCTACTGTTGTAAGCATTTTGATGTGGGGTGCCATCCACTTAAATAACTTAAAATATCTTAAGCAACAGTGGTGTAGTATGAATGAGTATGCCAAAACATTAACTGTACATTAAATGTCGTGTTTTTGTCATGTATGTGTATATATGTACTGTATGTGTAAAGCAATTAATTTTTGTTGAGAAGTTGAATTTCAGCAGTTGCTACCGTGTTTTTGTCATGTATGTGTATATATGTGTGTGTGAAGCAATTAATTTTTGTTGAAGTTGAATTTCAGCAGTTGCCAGTAAATCTGTCAAAACTGTGGCTTCAGTGGACTTCACTTTATGTTTTAATTCATGGTAAAGACTTTCAAGTCCACTGGGAGAGATTTAAGTAGGTGTTTAACCATTCTGTTGAAATCAGTGGGATGCAAAAGTGTATTAGTTTGCATGGATTTAAGTCCATAGTCTTTTGGTGTTGATTTTTAAAATCTGGTGGAGCCAGGCTGTTGAGCTGTCTTAGGTCTCCTTTTCAGCATGCCTGTTAATGGTCCCAATCCACCTAATAGTTTCCTAGTTTTTCATGGCCATTGACATCAAATGCATTTAGAAATAGCACTAGTGAAGCCCATTCAGTTTATGTAAGCCAGCTGCCAGCTGAAACTGGGGGGCCTCAATGCCATCAGCACAGTGAGCACAAAATGGTTCAAGCTTACTCAGTCTGGTTATCCTATGTGTACTTGACGAAATCTCTAGCCTAAAATTAAACCCATTGTGCAGCTAAACCAGCATCTGACTTCAGACAGGCCTTTAGCTATGCTGTGACATTCTGTAGGAACAGGACATTTACATTTAAAACATACAATTTACTGAGATGTAGATTATATCAAGAAAATTGGGAGGGTGATATCTCCAAAATAAAAAATACATCAGAACTCAATTGTTGAGATTTGGAATTTTAGCTGTTTACATGCAGTTTATAGTGATGGACTTGGATTCTGGAGAACCGGTTCAAATCCTTACTTGGTCATGGAACCTTGCTTGTGAGGTGACAATGGTGAAACAATTCTTTAAATATCTTTAAAACCCTATTGAAGGCTGATGTATGTCAAATACAACTTGGCAGCCTATAACAACAAAGGGTAGTTTTTTGTTCTTCCAGAATATGGGAACTTGAATATTGGGGGTGGTGGTGATGATAATTTGCTTTGGATACATGCACATAAATGTGCATAGTGGATTTTATTCCAGCATTGTTTTGAAATTGCTTGCAATGATACAAAGTTCTAATATACTTCCTTAATTTAATTAGTCTGTTAGGGCACTGATGTATTTGTGGGCATGATGCTTGTTCAAAAAACCACTTGAACTTATATCACATCGGTTCACTCTGCTTTAAAATATAGTATAGGGTGCTGCTTCCATGCACTTCCATCTTAGCTTCAATTTGCTATTCTCTAGTCCTAAAAGTCAGTTGAAATATACTGACAGCAGTTTCATTTGCTGATTCCTTCACTTGGAAAGACAACTGAACTATGTGGAGTCAAAAGAGTACAGATTTGGGGCAGTGGATAAAAGCACTGTACTTTTTTGTAGTGGCATATGAAGGACCCTCTGTATGAATGTGAGCACTGCTTTATGCAGAGGGTTCTACTCTCATTCAGACAAATGCTAGCAGACACTTCTTCACATCTTATCATGTAGTGTAGCAGAGCTGGCATCAGAAAGTATGGGGCCAGTGCCTGTGGAAACATTAGTGGTAAGTCCAGCTATGTGGTTCCAGGCCACTATATGGTTTCATTTTTTTGTTCATCCATAATTTGTGAATAGTGTGCTGGTCTCTGGAAGAAGGTTTTTTTTAAAGATTTTCTCTTCAAAGAGGAAGTATTGAGAAAGCTGTTATTCTACTGTTGTAGAATGCAGTCCAGACCAAAGTGTATAATACAACATGTTTTGATGGATTGTAGATAGAAATGCACCTTGAAGGAAAGAGGGTTTTCAGAGACTACTGAAATCATATTTCCCCCCACCCCAGGAATTGCTGTTTCACCTTATAATAAAAGCAGATGAGCTTTGTTCAAAACAGTGAGACAAAACATAATAAACATATGAGCAATAATAACAAAATGAAAATGAAAAGGCATTGCTAAAACATTTCATTCACAATTTATAAACCTATTCAGTTCATCGTTTGGAAACAAAAACAAAGCTGTTGGACATCTTGAAAAGATACCAGCACAAGTGCCAGCTGTTCTTCCTCCACAGGAATCCTCCATGCGGAAAGAATTCTCTACATAGGGTGTCAGAAGAGGCCTTCTTTCACAGTCACTGTCTGCCATGTCTGGCATCAGATGACTGGAGCAAGGGCTTCTGAAGATGATCCCTGTACACAAGCAAGCTGATGTCAAGGAACACATTTCTTAAGGTATATAGATCCTAAATTGTTTTAAAAGAAAGTATGAGTACTTTGAATTATACTGATAAATGGACAGGAAACTAGCATACTTTGTTTTTTAGCACTGATGATATATTCCCAAGTATTGGGTCTAGTTAATATGCAGCTATATTCTGAACTTTACTTTTATTAGATTTTTCCCCCGCCACACCTAGACAAAATCTACTCTGGGTGGCTTACACACATAATAAAAACATCACAATATAACAAATATCATAAAATCATTTAAAACATAATTTGACACTTATTTTAAAATATAGCTAAGATGAAATAGTTTAGAAAGATAAAGACTAAAGATCAGTTAATTGACTGGAGGGAAGGCCTGCCTAAATAGCCAAATTTTTTAATGGCTTTTAAAAACGCCCACTGTGGGTGCCAGACAGATTTCTGTTGGGAGGCTGTTCAATAGCCGAGGGGCCACTGCCGAGAAGGCCTGGTTTCTTGTTCTTTCTTTCTAGGCCTCTCTTGGCGTTAGGCCCCTCAGCCATCCCTGCTGGCTATGCCGGGTGATTTGGGCAGATCTTGGTGGGAGAAGACGATCTGCCAAGTATCAAGGTCCCAAACCATTTAGGGCTTTATACGTCATCATTAGCACTTTGAAGTCAATGCGGAAATGAATGGGCAACCAATGCAAAGCGGCCAGAGTGGGGGAGATATGCTGATATTTCCTCACCCCACTAAGAAGCCTGGCTGTCACATTCTGCACCATCTGAAGTTTCCACATCAACCTCAAAGGCAGTCCCACGTAGAGCATGTTACAATGGTCTAATCTTGAGATTACGAGTGCACGGACAAGAGTAATGAGGGCCCCCCTATCAAGATATGGTCACAGCTGGGAATTCCGCCATACATGAAAATAGGCGGAGCGGGCCACGTACGCCATCTGGGTTTCCATGGTAAGTGCCATGTCCAGATGTATCCCCAAGCTGCGAACCTCTCTCTTTGTGGTGAGAGTCGTCCCCGCAAAAGAAGGGGAGTCACCCAAACAGCTAATGGAAGGACCATCCACCCTCAGGACCTCCGTCTTGTCTGGGTTCAGCCTCAACCCATTCAGCTGCATCCATTGCAGTACAGTCTCCAGGCAGCATTGAAGGGACAGAACGGCATCCATTAAAGTAGGCGAAAAGGAGATGTAGAGCTGGTGGCACGATGCTCCACACGCCGTGATGACTCCACCCAGTGGCTTCATATAGATATTAAACAGCATTGGGGAGATGATTGACCCTTGCAGGACCCCACAATTGAGGCTCCATGGGGCTGAAACACTCTCCCCAAGCTCTACTCTCTGGGGACGGTCCTCCAAGAAGGATCGGAGCCAGGCAAGCGCCAGGCCACCGATTCCCAACTTGGAGAGCCTCCCCAAGAGGATACCGTGGTCAACGGTATCAAAGGCGGCTGAGATATCAAGGAGGACCAACAAGGATGTATTGCCCCCGTCGGGCTCCCTCAACAGGTCATCCAACAGTGCGACCAGTGCCGTTTCTGTGGCATAACACACTAAATGAACCACCCACACTAAATGGTTAATCTTGAAAGATAGCCTGATGAGCAGTGCATTGCAGTAATCTAAAATCTGGAGGATAAGGCAGCATGGATAGCTGTTGTCAGGTTCTCCCAAGAGGGGTTTCAGCTGAGCCTCAGCTTGTCAAAGGCATGCCACTGACACACCACATGAGTTTCCAGCAACAAAGATGGGTCAAAGAATACCACCAAACTGAAATCTGATCTGTTAGAGCAGCCATTCTCAACGGGGCCATATGGCCCTCTGGAGGTGTGCTGGCACATTTGAAGGGGGGCACAGACTGAAAAATGTGAGAAGTTTATGAAAGCTATCTGTGTTGCATCCTTGTTTGACAGGGCCCCCTGAAACCTGAAATAACTCCTTAAGGACCATGGCCAAAAAGGGTGGAGAATGGCTGCTTTAGAGTCTCCCTACACCTCCTAATGCCTTAAATATCCTCCACTATTTTTTTCTTTGAGAAGCCATTTTATGCCATCCTGTTCCAACCCTGTTCTGGGGTGGGGAGGCAACTGGAATGTCTGGCCTGAAAATATTTTAATCAGGAAGTGACATGATCCAGAATTACATAAATACAGGAAGATGCCCACCTGCCAGCTTCTAGAATTGCAGTTTAAATGTAAGTAGGAGGGCTGGATGGGATCTTATGAGGATGAGCTTCATGTTCAGCCAGTCCTTTATTAATTTCAAGTGCAAATTCATTGGACTGATTTGCCTGAAATAAAAGGAATGAGAGAGCTGAATGTCAACTTGATAACACTGAATTAAAAAAATACTAGATTAATTTGTTGATCAGTTACTTTTAGATGATAAAAAATAGAGTGATAACATAGAATTGTGGAGATCATGTAGCATAAATAGCATGAGAGCAGAGCATTCTCCCAGAAACACACTTTGGAACTGGCCCTCCAGGTAGGAGTGAAGTCACAAAAGTCACCATACTCCTAATTCCCAGTGATAATAGCCTTCGCAGAGCATTTGCATGTGATGTTGAAGAAAATTGCATTCCTTGTGTAGCAATATAAAT